TTTAATTTTTATTGATGTATTTTAAAATTATGAGATTTTATGAACTAAAGTAAACAATATTAATAATGAGTTAGGTTGTTACAACAACAAAGTTTTCCCATTTTACACTTCAAAAATTTTACAAAATGAAGCCATTACTTATACTTCATACTTATCTGCGCAAGTCATGCAGGGTTTTTTTTTTTGTTTTTTTTTTCCTCTTTTTGGACATGCATGGTTTGGCTTCATGAATTTTGAACCTCTTTTAATACTTAAACATAATAATATTATTAAACCAGAAAGATTAACTTGAGGGAATTCCGATCAAGTTCCCTCAAAGCTTCTGGTTCTAGAATGTAGCTGCTGTCCGGTCATCTGCCTATGTAAACCCATAATTAATATATAGAGTAAGTAACAATTAAATCTTTTTTTTTTTTTATCAACCAAATCAAAAGCCCCTATAACTTGGTGGTACGTAGAGCGTCAGTCTTATGAACTGAAGGTTTGTAGTTTGATCCTACATGTGGGCAAACATGAAATTTTTTTGTTAAAAAGAAATGGGAAAATAATTATTACATACTCTAATTCAACACACTTGTCAACGTTAATCAGTGCAATCATTAAATTTTGTAGTTGAAATTTTTTCTGCCTTAAATTCAAATTTAAAAATATTTTTTTCAATGAATCAAAATTTATTAAAAGGAGTACAAAGGGTATTCAACCTTACAAGTAAAAAATAAAAATAAGAGTAGAAGTTTTGTGGCTTATTAGTTCCATCAGCACAAAGATTTGGGAACTAGCACCAGTCATCATAGCTAAATCCTATAGATTTTGATTTTCCTTTAATCCAACCAAAAATCTTAGGACAATTATACATACACCCAAAAAATCAACACCCATCTCAACACCCAAGGCTTATGAACAGTAAATTACAAATTTACCCCTCCTCATTTTAGCCTTGGGTGTTGAGATGGGTGTTGATTTTTTGGATGTATGTATAATTGTCCAAAATCTTATAGCTTGTTCTAAATCAAGAATATTGCTTTCATCCCAAGACAGTTTATTGAACACAATACCATTTCTATAGTACCAAATTGTCCAAGCTGTGATGAGAATGGAGAGTACCCAACACTTCCATGAATTATTAGCATCCATTAAAGAGCAAAGTTGAATAAGCAATAAGGGAGCACTTTCATAAGGGACAAAAGAAACTCCCCACCAGAAGCATATTTGATTCCAAATAATTTGAGAACATAGGTAGGTGGAAAAAATGTGATTAAGATCCTCCACACAATCACCAAAAAGGACACAGTTTAGGTTGGATGAAAGATCAACTCCGCAAAAATGAGGATGTCCTTAATAGGGAGTTGATTTAAGAAGAGGCACCAAGCAAAGATACTAACCTTGGAAGGCATGAACTGATTCCAAATAAGCATGCAACAACCCCTATCAAGGCATGGTGAGGAGATCTCAAGGAATATGTATGCTTGTTTCATTGAGTAGCTAGTTGCATTGTGCTTCCAAGTAACATAATCAACTCTATTTTCTATTAAGGAAACCTTTTTCAAAATATCTTGCAACACCCCAAGCTCATCCAATTCCTTGCCAAAAAGAGGTCTACGCCATTGAAGAACCCATCCGTTAGTAGTTGTTGGCTTTAAGTCAGCAACAAACAAGTCCTTGCAAGAAGCGAGGTTGAACAAGTGAGGGAAATCAATCATGAGAGGAGAACTCCCTAGCCAATGATCCGTCCAAAATTTGGTTTTAGAGCCATCACCAAGCTTTCAGGCAAAGCCATCAATAAAACATGCAGAAGCTCTTTCA